CTGCTCTTTTGCTGCCCCCCCCCGCTGCAACTACCTTCTCCGGATGCTCCCCCCGTCGGTTACGGCCGAGTACGCCGGCACCCACGACTCAGCTGTTCTGTCCACCTTTGCGGTCTTTCTTGGCGTGGATGGCCTTCCCGACCGTGCTCGACGGATCGCCCAGTTGCTCTTGTCGCTGGGTGGCCTTGGCTTGGTGTCTGCTGCTCAGACTTCTGTCTCTGCTTATTGGGCGTTTTGGGCGGATTGCTTGCCTGTCCTCGGTCAGCACTTGCCGCCTGCGGCGCAAGCTTTCCTCCGTGACCTTGGGGCTCCGGTTCCGCACGTGCCGTGTCTTCGCGCTGCTGCCACAACACGCGCCGAGCTCAGCCTGGCGGACTGGACTCCCGCGAGCTGGCGTGAGCTCTGTGACGGTGTGCCGGCGCCGACCTTGCAGGAAGACGGGCCCTCCACCTTGGCTCGCGGATGGCAAGGGGCCGCGGCATCAGCTGTTGCCCGCCGCCAGTGTGAGCAGCTGCTCTCCACCTTGGACCCATCCAGCGAGGCCTTGCTCCGGTCGCAGCAGGGCCCCTTCGCCAGCCGCTTTTTGACCACCGTGCCCACGTGCCCCGCCCTGTCCTATCCTTCCCACTTGTTCCGCGTTCTCCTTCTCAGGCGCTTGCGCCTTCCGCTGCCACTTTCCCAGCGCTACTGCCGGTGTCGTCGCCCTTTGGACTCCCTCGGCGACCACCGCGCAGCCTGTGCTCGGGCCGGTGTCCTCCGGAGCCGCGGGTGCCCTCTCGAGCGGGCCGCCGCGCGAGTGTGCCGCGAGGCCGGGGCGAGGGTGACTTGCAACACCCGCTTGGCAGACATGAATCTCCAGGTCGATCGTGTCGACGACCGGCGGCTTGAGGTCGTACACCACGTTGGTATCTCTTGTCCGGCTCGGGGCAGCCCTGCCGCCGGGTCGTGTTCAAGGCGCCGCCCTTGCCCTTGCACGCCGCTCGGAACGCTGCCGCTTGGTTGTTTTGGCCGTCGAGGTCGGGGGCCGGTGGAGTGACGAGCCAGCCTCCTTTGTGCGCGCCCTCGCGCGAGCCAAGGCGCGAGAGGTGCCGGTTCGTCTCCGGTCCAGCCTGGTTGCTGTGCTTGTTGTTGTTCCCGCTGGTCCGCACTCCTGTCCCACGCAGCCATGTCGGCCTTTGCTGCCACCTTCACCCAGCGGGCGGGGGCACTCAGCCATGCCGACGCTGCGCCCCCGCCCCTGGGTGAGCTTCTTGCAGATGCAGGTGACTCACCGCTAGCCGGCTGCCTGCCGGCTAGCTGCACTTCGCACAGCCGGTGGCCCGCGGGGTACAAATGGCTTGTGTGCCTCCCGTGCCCGGCGGCTCCCCTTAAGCAGGGTTTTCGGGTGGACAAACCATGGCGATGGAGAAATGGCGCGCGGAGAAAAAAAACATTTTGGCTCAAGCGCGCCGACACGGTGCCTCAAGCGTTTGGGCACGAGCCAAGGTGCTCAAGTTTTGTTGGTTGTCTGCCCGTCCCCCTGTTTGTGGTTTTGAGGGTTCTTTCCCTGTTCTTTTTGTGGTGTTGGGGCTGCCCCGGATTCCGACTTCGTATCTGAGCGAGCACCAAGGATCACATAACTAGAAATCGGACCCAGTATAAATAAGCCGTGCCACAGCTACGGGGTGGTGGGCCCAGCTTAAACAAACCCACCCGGCGGTCGGGAAAAAAACAACGGGGGGACCGACCCCGTGACCAACGGTGCGCAGCCTTGGGGGGACCGACCATGACCGACCCCTTCGCAACGGTTTGCAGCCTCGGGGGGCCCGACCTCGTGACCAGCGGTTCACAGCCTTGGGGGCACCGACCCCGTGAGGTAATGCTCTGTAGCTCCAGGCTTTGCCTCTTGGAAATTCCTAGAGATACCGGCGTCCGCTCCTTCTGTTGTGCATCCCCTTTCTCCCGGTAGCCGTCCTGAAGACCCATGGGCATCCCAGTCTCGCTGACTACCTTCTCATCCTTGGACTTGCCTTTAACCTTGAAGTCGTTGTGGCCAAAACCCTTCTTGCTCTTTCCTTTGCCGTGCTTGCCTTTGCCGTCCTTGCCTTTGCCCTTCTTGCCCTTCTGGTTGTAGTAGCCGCCGATGTAGTCAATCTCCATGGCTTGCGCCTCATCCATGCTGGCCCTGGTTAGCAACCCGAGCACGTGCTCCACCGCATAGTGATTGCCTCGCACTGCTCTATCCGTCTATCCTTCAACGACTCATATGTGACCAGCATCACTAGCAGGGCGTGCGGCCAGAATTGATGCGACCGTCAGGTCCTGGCCCACACCTCTCTCATACTCTCTTGTTCTGGGCAAACGTATGCGTGACCGCTGGGTCATCAAAGCCAATATCTCTCAACAGCAACCTCATGCTTCATAGCCGTTCTCTTCCGTCATGTGCTGGATGAGTTTGAGTGCTCGGCCACGAAGATACGAAGCCAAAACTCCAAGCCTCAAACTCTTCACCCTTCGCACATCATTCAGCTCGTTCCAGTCAATCGCTTCTTCGGTGTTGCTGGCCACCCGTTTCATGTCCAGGTACATCTCTGAGTCCACTGCGTTGACCTCTAACGTGAACTTCCAATCTTCCAATTGCTTCAACTTGCTCTCTCGGTCTTGAAGATTTCCGGCCCTTTGACGTTCCGGACTGATTCTGCTCCTGGTTCCGGGTGAGTCCATCCTGTGACCTGCTTTTGCTGTAGCATCTTGCCGTAGGTCCACTTTATGACCTTCACAAAAACCTCCAGATAGATCTTCTTCACCTTCTCAATGTCCGCCTTGCACCAATACTTCTCAAGGTCACCGAAGCCGTTGGTTCGTCTTGGACGGGCTGGCAGCTCGGGAGCAGGTCTTACAGCACCAGCTCCGCTACCATGACAAGCGGCAGCTGTCTGTTTTCAGCTTCACTCAATCTGGAGCCTGTATGGCCATCGATTCATGCGCTCATGCCAATGCGCAATCCATGCTATGGGCGTGACTGAATCCAGGACGCACGGAGGTGGGAACAGTTTGAAGTCACAGATCCCGCGCTGGCATGCCCAAAGTATTGCTACTCAACCGCGGGTTGCGAAGTTCGCCGTGCTACTGGAAAATTTGTGCCAGGGTGACCTAGATCAACCACAAAAAATGCATTTTGAACGAGCAGCCTTGGACACTGGCGGAATTGCAGCTTGGCTTGCCGTACGGAAGCTCCACCGCAAGCGTGGATGTGATGAAGCTGGACTTTCTGCCGAGCTGCTGAAACACGCTCCGGCGGACGCTTTGCAACTACTGGTTACGCTGTTCAATGAGGTCTTGGTGTCAGGATGGGTCTTAAGCGAATGGTCTAAGACATTTTTTGTTTGTTGGCAAAGAAAGTTAGGGCGTCCAACCATTGGATTTTCGTCCAGCGTTCGGGACTACACCATCCGCACCTTCGCCCAGGATGCCCCGAACCCGCAGGAGCCGGCGCACGTGTCTGCGTTTGTGCGCGAGTCATTTGCAGCAAAGATGCGCGCGCGCGCCTGTGGAAGCTGGAGCGGCGTGCCCCAGCTGCGGCCGTTTGCAACTCTGGGAGCATGACGTTGCTACTGGCACTGGGCGCCTGACGTGCGCAAGTCCCCGTGCTCTCTTGGCGTCGCCGCCCTTTTTGGATGTGACTGAGCCCGTCGGCGCCTTCTGACGTCGACATGCAACAGGCCCCGCCTGCGCATGTGCACACGTCCGATTCCGAAGCCCGAGAGCCGTGATGCGAAAGGGCTGCAAGAACCTCTCATCTCAAGGCTGCAGGGCCGACAAATTCCTGGCTGTATGTGCCCCTGTTGCACGCGGCTGCTGGCCGCTTGTCCTGGCGCCCGCCCACTGGAGGGGGGCGGCCCTGTGGTGGGAAGCGGCTTGTCATGCGCTTGCTCGGCGCTCCCCGCTCGCCCCGCCGCTCTCCTTGCCGCTCTCGAGCTTGTGCCGGAAGCGGAAGTTGCTCGCCGTGCAGCTGCAACAGGCTGTTGCCTGCTTCCGTCCGGCGCTCTGGTCCACATCCCTTGGGTCACGAACGTGCTAGCCATGACAGGCGGATCGAAGTGATTGCCAACGTGCTGCTTGTTCTTGGGGGAGCCCAACTTGCAGTTGACACAACCCTTCCTGGGGCCAGATAGAGGTCATAGCCAATTGGTATCAATTGGTGTGGTTCGCAAATAGCTGCCGACACGACACACTTGTGTCTCCACTCACGGCAGCTGCATCCCCCTGGCAGCACGGTTGCAGGGCAGCGTTGCGCGCCATGCCAAAGAATGCACATGCCCCGAGCTGATTGCGCCCCAGCCAGTCTCGCTGCACACCTGGGTGCCGTGGACTTTCTCCGCGGGTCTTGTTCGGTTCTGGAGCGGCTGTGCAGTGTGCTGACCGCGGCTTACGTACGGCGATGGTGTTCGTTGCTCGCCGCTTGGAGTGCGCGTGGAGCTGCCACCGTGTGGCTGTGAGAGAGGCAACCGCGCTCTTAAAAAGCAGTTCGTGAAGACTCCTGTGCCCGGAGGTGCCCTGCAAGCAGGGTGGGGGGGAGATATGCGCGGCAGAAGGCGGAAAAACACCCTCCCTGCGATGCAGCCAGTGAAATCGGGCTCCTTTCCAATCTTGTCGACCCACGCTGGTGCATTGTTCACTTCCTTGTTGCTACTCTTTTGTTGCTTTCCCCGCTGCAACTACCTTCTCCGGATCCCCCATCAGGTGCGCCCGAAGAAGCCGGCGCCCTCGGCTGCCTGTGCCCTTGTCACTCGGTAGCCTTGGCCTGTTGTTTGCTGCCCAAACTTCCGCCTCTGCGTGTTAAGCGTCTTGGGCTGGTTGCTTGCCTGGCCTCAGTCAGCACTTGCCACCTGCGGCGCAAATATCTTGTTTTGCGCAGGTGTGTTTCCACTGTGTCAACCATTCTATGCTCCATAGCCAACAGTCATGTTTTCTGAACAAACTTGAGTTGAAGGCTTCATGCCAAACACAGGTTGCCTGCATAGCGTTTTGGCCCCAGAGCCCATAGATGGCTTGCAGCCGCAGGCATTCTGCCTTTCCTCATGGAGGCATGCTGGAGGTGTTGTAGCATTGTGTAGTGTGGCTATGTGTTTTTTTGTCAGTCTCCGCACGTCGACGAGGGCGGCTATGTCATGACTTGTGTTGTCGGTGCGTGATTGAATTGAGCGACCTGCATGCTGACAGGAATTCATCCGTGCACTTCATGAAGAGCGCGAAGAACTCCTGCGAGTCGCTGAGGAGTTTTGGCATGTTTTGGATGTGGGAGTTTTAAACAACGTGTTCAATCATGCAGGCAAAATGGCCCACTGAAAACTTGAGCGTCTCAAGGCAACTGAAGTTGAATCCACTTCAGCAATTTGCATAGATTGGTTCTCGGCTGGTTGGCAGGAGCACAACACGGCCATGCAAAGATCCATGATGTTGACCTTCCAGCGGCTGGACAACCGACACTTGGCACATGTGACGAGTGGCGCCAAAAACCGCGAAGGTGGACATTGAACAGCTGCAGGTTTTTTTTTGGCAACGGCAGCTCTGTGCTTGTAGCGCGAGCATTGCGAGCATATCTGAAGTGCGTTGCTTGCTTGCCAGGGTTTAAACTCAGAATCTCGTTCCAGACAAGAACGCCTCGCTTGGCTCAACATAGGGAAATTGCTCCAGCCTGCTCATTTGCTGCCAGCTATGTTGCCAATGCACTTCTATGTGTTGGTCCCTTCCGCGTACTCTTTCGAACGTGGTCAGCATCTATGAGCGATGAGGATCAAATTCAATTTCACGATGTGAGCGGTACATACTGAAGGTCACATGGAGTCAAACAAACTATCTTTTTCAAAGCCGTACTTGATAAATTGTGAACGCAAGGCCGGTTCGCATTGAAGGCGCAAAAGTGGGCCCATTACAATATGGGCGTGTTTTGTTTGGAGAAAACATAAAAAGGCAAAAGGAGACCACCCATTTCAAGGAATCCTTTAGAGGCACCCTTATGTGGGAATTTGCTTTCGAGGCGGTGGCTTTTGGCTGTGTGACGTTTCAGGCTTTGCGGAGAAAGCCAACTCTCCAGGCGAGAGCGCGACTTTCCTTCAAGGCCAGATTCCAGGGACATGGTCTTTTGTGCATGAACTTCAAGTTTCTCCTGCTGTACACTTGTTGAGTATTGTCATGCGCCTTCCCCCTCCTCAAAGAAAAAGACACGTTCAATAGCAGCTGAGTTACTTTGCAGAGCTCCGCCATGGCAACGAGCAAATCAAAGCGAATCGGCCTGCCAGGCGCCGCGGGTGCCATGAACTCATTTGACTCGATGATGGCCAGCCAGCCCGTTGAGCCTGGTGCAGATCCCTTGCCCGAGTGCATGTCCCCCTCCAAGTCCCACGAAGACGTGGTGGAAGTGCCGTGGTTGGACAGGCATAGCTGGCAAAGTCTTCCTCGCTTGTGAGCAAGTTTGCATAGCTAGGAGCATGCCTGACCGTAATTACCTGTAATGAGAATATAGCTTTACCGATGCTTGGTTTGTTTGGAGGTGTGAAGAAGAGATGAATGTGATGATGGTAGGACGTGATGCAAGAGAATGGATTCGGCCGCTCTCTTCGTTCCCTTGCCTATGTCAGAATCCAGATGTAGCCAGGTAAAGATAAATCCATGGTATCCAACCGTTCACTCTTTGCCTCCCCTACCGCTCCTTCCTTCCTCCCGTCAGATTTGTCATTCTCACTTCGATGAGTGAACAGGTCTGTGCCTGTGGGCATCATTCTCGGCCGGAGCAACTTCCTTCTTGCGACGCATAATTTCACCTGCTGAGCAGGGCGTGGCAATAAGATTGGGCATGCCTCCATTAGACAGCTCTATTCTTGCGAATTGGAGGTAAAGTTTGAATTTGCAGACGAGGGGACGACCAATTTGATCCATTTTGGAGCATCCACAGCGAGTTTTTGGCCCATTCGTGAGTGCGAAACCGAAAGAGTAGGTGAGAATATCTTTCACTGCTGGGTTAGTACGTCGCAGGAAGGATTCGGAGCTTGTTTTTGGGACCTTGGGCCTTTCCTGCGGATCTTCAGTGTTGCGTGTGCTCAGTACAGCGCCATTGGTGCAGAAAATTGTTTCAAGATGTTTTACTGCTCGCTGACTTGTTTTCAAGCCATCGATCTTTCTCTCTCAGTTGCGGCAGCTGTAAGCTATGGGATGTTGATCAACCCTATGTTTGGGCGGTCTTGGCCCTGGCATGGTTCCTAGATTGTTCTGGGCAGATCCCATGCATGTTCCAGGTGGGTTCCAGGCAGTTTGCAGTTTTACCGAGGCCGTGGAGCCAGAGACTTATCCCGAAAACACTGGCGGCCCATCGGCCGACCCATCGGCTGGCCCATCTTGCGGCCCCAGCGCGTTCGCCACTTTCGAGTTAGCGTCAGAGATGCCGCAAGCCGCTGCGCCTTTGCCCGCGCAAGCCACTCCGGCACAGTCGAAGAGCGCGAGACCAAATGACACCTCGGAGATCTTCGGCCTGCAGAGCATCGTCCACCGAACCAAGCGCTACATTGACATCTTAGCCGGCGCCCTGGTGCTGTTGAACTCCTTTGTCATGATGCTGGAGCTGGAGTTGGAGGGAAGGGCTGTGGGTATTCAGCTGGGCTTGGGGGACGGTTCAACTACTACCCTGGAAGAGATCGAGCCAACTTTTCAAGTCTTGGACACTATCTTTGTGTATGTCTTCTTAGCCGAGCTGCTTCTGCGCATAGCAGCTGAGCGGCTTCACTTCTTCCATGATGTGGCCAACTGGTTTGACGCCGTGCTGGTGGTGGTGGGCATGTTTGACGTCTGGCTTCTGGGTCTGTGTTTCTGAGTGTTGCTTTTGGCGTTGCGTTGCTGTTGGCGTTACGTCACTTATTCCACTTGGATGAAACGTAACGTTCATGAATTACAATTAGCATGTTAAGCGCACGCACCATGTAGTTGGAACTGAATGTTGCTTCTCGGCCATATAGGGGCGATGTGTGTTGTTACATGGTGTGCATCCCTTTGATACTGGGCTTTGCTTCCCCTTCACATCATCAACTTGTCGTAGACGTGTTTGATCCCCACCCCTTAGTGTCCGAAAACGGGGGGACATCTGAAACCCTTACATTTTTAAGTGGCAAACCCCAGAAAATGTGCATTACATTCCTCCTCTTACCCCCCTTGAGAGGGGGTGAGGACTATCCAACTCCGTTCAAGGCCGAGCTTCGCACCTGTGAGCCCAGGCTCATCGTTCCCCTGTCTTCTGGTGATGCCGAGCCCCAGAACATCATGATGATGCGCCTCGTGCGGGCGGTGAAGTGCCTCCGGGCCATCCGCATGGTGCGGACCTTTCGGCTCTTCCGGGGATTGAATCTGCTGGTGAAGGCTGGCGGCTCGAGTACCACACCTGACAGGGGTCCGCCCCTTCCTTAAATTGATTTAAATTGATCTTCGAGGTGATCGCACCCCTACGGGGCAAGGGTGCCCTCCCAAGGTGGAATCCGACAGAAGGCCCTTTTGGATAGGAGCCATTCTCCGGGCCTTCCAACCAGGGAAAGTTGCAACTTCCTGTCGGAAAGTTTGCACGTTCCTGACACGGTTTCTTGCAGGTGATTTCTTGGAAGCAGGTATGCATATACCATGCCCTGTTGATCAATCCATGTCGGTTTGTTTCTGGCTCCAGATGCATCCTGACGCGCATTTGGCGTGCTGCTTGTTTGTTGGAAACAACGTGTTGGCCTGCGTCTATGCATTCTGCATTCCCACTGAAATGCGAGCATGCTTGGAGCTTGGAGAAGGTAGCCGAGGCAAAGCACGTATCCTGCAGCATCCTCACGACTAAGTGCCTCATGACTAATTAG